CAATCACCCCCTACCCGATCTTCCTCAAGCTCAGTTTGTCAATTTCCGGCCATCTGTTCCTCTGAGAAACATGCAATCCTTGCAAAAAGTCTCTCGTCCGTATATCACTCCCCTACAACCAATACGTTTCAAGCGGAAGATTGATCCAAATCCTGCGGCTCTGTTTTGTTCTGAAGTGACAGCAAAACGTAATGCGAGCGAACGATGTGTGCTTTACGCTCAGAAGATCAATGAATTATGGATGTTCGATTGTGGATTGGAAGAGTGGATGGAGAACATGCGTCATGGAGGTATGTTTCTGACTTGAGCATTTTCTTCCTTGCTGTTGTTTATTTTTTCCCAAAATTATCTTCAGGTTCAGCATCCACACATCGTGGAGCCGCGATATCACTCACGCAAGCAACTCCTACATCGCCCGTCTCTACCAGCTTTCACGCTGCGTCACCTTCCACGGTTCCATTTACCTCCCAACCCCGACAAACCTCTCGTTCCTCGTATACGTCCATTACAACTGAAGCTACCTTTCCACGACGGCCAGATGCCTCTGCTGCTACGGATCTATCCATGACCTTCAAGGATGCATTATCCATGAGCCCTCCAACAGGTCCACCCACTCTGCCCTATCCATCACTCGCATCGGCAAACCAGAAATATCCTGGTCGATCAAACTCGTCTGTAGGGAGTATCAGTGGAAGTGATTCACCAGCAAAAGGATACAAATCACTGATGCCATTAGCATCAACAAGCAAGACCGGGGCATTTTTCGCATCTTTAGGTCGCAAGGCGAGCGTTAGCAGAAAAGATAAGGGTCTTGGTGCAGCAGGTCAAGGTTTAGCGTCGTCGTCCGCACGATTAAACAAACAGTCGCATAAGCACATTTCCCAGAACAGCCATCCTCCTGTCACGGTTACAGCAGGACTACCTTCTATTCCCGGAGGCCCTAGAGCACCACCCAATAGGATGCTTCGATCTCAGACAATCATGATATCACCTATGCCTTCGGACAGCTCTAGTTCTAGCTCAACCGGAAGAGCAAATGCAATGGGTAGGAGACCGTCACTATTCAATATTCCTTCGGCCGATAGTGTGCACCACACAACCTCTCACAGTGGACATTTGAGCAATCCCACTGTTCGAGGTGGACCACGGTCTCAATCGTCGTCGCCGTCGAAACAACCCTCGAAAGCCCTGTATGGGTCTCCCACTCCGCCGGAATCTTCATGGGACCCAGAATTTCGACATCAGGTTGACAGACTCTCCGACTTGATGCCGCATGCGGATCGGACTGTGTTGGCGGGATACTTGAGGAGGTCAGGACAAGATATCCTGGCAATTGGACATTATCTGGAAGATGAAAAGAATGGGCGCCTTAGAAGGGATTGAGTCACTGGAGCTGCGCAAAAAGGAAATTGTATCAGAAATCATCAGAAACCATGTATGCACAAGGTCAACAACCACGCATTTTATCTTTAACCCTCCCTAACCATGCCTTCCATCTATCCTGATATCTTTATGTTCTTATTCCCCTTCTGAATTTTGCAAACTCTGGATCTGTTATCCAGCTTCTTGATCGCACGTCGTTCTTTCGCTTTAGATACTTTGTTCTGAAGCCCATATTCCCTAACCATTTGCATCTTGAAATCTCATTGTTCCGGTTCCAAAGTTCACAGTCTATAACATCACATATGCCTGCTATTATACTTTGTATATTTATTTTATGATTTCTATGCTCAGATTACAAGTTGCTACATTGACCTATTATTTTTACCTACCACATCAACAATTTTTACGCATTCTAATACACAATGTCTGATACAATGTTACACATACATCTGGAAGGGTCAACAATGAAAGAGCCAATGAAAGAGCTGGTATCGTTGTCACTGCCTGGCGATAGCAGGCCTGAAAGTCCCAGCAGTCCGCTTGGTTGTGCTGCTGGGAGGTGCGAAACCTACAAGGAGTCGTTAAGCCGCCTGGCACTGAAGATAGGTTCTTACGTACCTCTTTGGATTGGACGAATTCGTTGAACATTGTCAGCGACCTGGAGACCAGAATTCCAACCTCCAGTTGAGGTCGAAACCCTCGCTGACCGTTGACCGCCGCCGCCGCCGCCTGAAAGCAAGTTTTCGACTTCGTTTGCGCTTTCCGAACGATCAGAGATGTATCCACCGGAATATGTGAGAGGTTGACGATGGGTTCCACCAACGCGGTTGACACGTTGACGTTGATTGAGCGTACTAGAAGGATTCTGATTCCATCCATCTGTCGTTCCTAGGCGGTTTGGAAAGCTGCTCGCACGATTGACGACGGGAGTGCGTTGTATCTGACATTCAATGTCGGACGAAAAACACAGAAAGAACTGATTGATAACATACACCGTTTGCTTCCATCCCACCCACTACAGCCCCGAAGTCGACATTATTTCCTACGTTATTTCCGAAACTTCGTATTCCACTCCATTGGCCCTCCGTAGTATGATTGGTGGGTGCATTCAATGAAGGTTCATTCGCAGTGAAGTTAGGGCCAAGGAGTGCCTTGCGTTTGATCTTATCGTGTTGAGCCTGCAAATTCGAGTAAGTCCTGAGTTCTACATAAGCCACCAGAAACGCTGGACCTTGAGTTTTTGGTATTCTTTTTCGCGTTCTCGCGTGGCTTCTTGCAAGTCGCGGACCTTTCTGCGTTCCACCTCGAGGTCTCGCTCAAGGTCTATGATTGAAAGTCAAAATAGAGGCGTATTTTGAAGAAAACAATCAATGTACCTGTGGCCTTGTTATTTAGCAGGGCTATTTCCCCGTTAGCTAGCGACGTGTTGAACGCCCTGATCAGCATTGCATGAACTTTGCAAGACTAGCAAATCACCTTCTCGGACAACGTTATCCAGCTGTTTTTGAAGTTGGGAGTTCTTGTCGTTGAGATTACGAAGCACGGCTTGTTGGAAGGAGCTGGCAATCAAAATGGCCAGTGAGATGCTGGTCCAAGGTAGATGTATGATATAAGTTACTTTTCTTGGTGTATCTGGTATTGCCAGAAGGCGATCGCTCTGGAATATGGGTAGCATTCATTGATAGGCAGCGTTGAAAGTTGAGCTAGCATTCAGATTCTAACACACACCGACTGCATATCTCTAATATAATCGAAGGAGTCAAGCCTGAAAGAACGGACTAGTCATGTGTAAAGCTGAGAAATATGATTATATGCGCATCAGCTCACAGTTTTGTAGTCATTTGAAGGATGCAGCGAGCATACCTAGCATTTAGGGCGTCAGTGTAATGTCATCCAGTAGATATTCGAACCTACAACCACATCGTCTCTGAGCGAATGTCAAATCAGGTAACAGTGTTTACGTGAAGCTATAGAACATACGGTTCGGATAACGAAGATTCGCAAGCTATGACGGAAATCGTCAACAATGAAGATGTGTATGTCCACACCCTAGAAATGATTACCTGGGCATAAACGCGCCGCATTGAAAAGCTCGTTCGCACAATCGACTGGTTAGATGCATTAATATTCGATGCTTTCGTATACGCAGCATGAGAACGTACCACAGAAGATATGTGAGCCTTTTCCAGTTGTCCTTCAACGTATATCTTCGTATCACAGCTAATAGGAGCAACTTACAGGTTGTCTTGTGACACTGATTGAACACACATTTGATACAAAAAAGCTAACAGAAGAGACGTACGACGACCGCTTTGTCTGTCAAAGGTTTCCTACAAGTGAGGCGATTGCATTTGAGCTCCGTGTCCATTGAGAACAGGGCTCTGAGCCCTTAGTCAAGTTGAAAAGACACGATTTTGGAAAGTCAAAAGCGTGAGAAAAGGTTCACGATCGCTCTTGGGCCTCTCTTTCATTTTTGTCTATCAAATTCATTCTACTGTTTAGTGATTTCTCACAGTCAAAGGCATTGTCCATCTGTGGCATGTAGCTCACTCATTATGCCCCTCGTTGGGCCATCTCGATTCGTATAAAAGGCCTTCAGCAATCTGGTAGAGGCATAACTTCCGGTTTCCGACGAATTCTAAGTCGCCTTCAAATCATTTCCTGCCTTTCAAACCCCCAGAATGCAACAGTATTTACCTTCAGTAGGCCCGACGGCAGAATCTATGTCAAGGCCACGTCGCAATGCTGTAGACATTTCCGCCCTAACCAGCAATACTAGAACTGCGCCTATCCCGTCGAGGTTTGGTCGGCGAAACGCGATCGACTACACTGCTTCTCTGGTGAAGTCGGATTGGTGGCATGTCGGTCAGGCTCACGCCCTGATTCCTCGCCAAAGCTATGGAGGCAATCCTGTTATACCGTTTGGCTCCGCTGGAAAGGTTCAGGCTGGTGTCGCTATGTCAGAACTCGAAATCTGTCAAGATTTAGCCCATGCCTCAAGCACAATCACCAGTTTTCTACCAAGTAATTGGATTCCAAGACAGCCCTTCGTTCAACTTAATATCAATGTAAGTGCTCTCTTCCTATCGTATCTGCCTCGATCTCATCTCGGACTATGGCAGTGGCCGGGCTACAATTATCTGCAGATCAGCAAACCATTGTTTTTTTATACTGCGACTGGCAGTCCTCGAACCCTCATGGAAGTAGCTCGTGATATCGTAGATATCTACCGTCTTTTCATACATGTTGGTATATCTCGAGCTTTGTCCTTTCGGCTGTTCGCTGATAAATTGTTCTATCCCTCTAGGAATACCACACAGCGTACAACCCATCTGAGCATGGTGCAGTACGTTTGGGTCCCAACCACGTAACTTTTGGACATCTGCGCTTGTTAGGGATCCAGCTTTGCAATGTTTCGAGCTTTGGAGAGTGCGAACATTGGATCGCGGATATAAGCTATGTTAAATGTTGAAACCGCGTCGATTTTATTGCCTACCATACCAAAGACGCTCTTTAATTTTCAATCCCATGTACCACGCATTAATTACACTATGAATCATGACAAGATAAAACCATGTACTTTTGCAAAAAAAAAAAAAAAATAACACTTGTGCAATAGCCCACCGCGAGGGTCGAACTCGCAGCCTTCAGATCCATATACTCCGCCATAAGAGTCTGACGCTCTATCCGATTGAGCTAGGCGGGCATATCAATGAACTTCTAATAGCTTTTATGATGATCACTAAATCATTCATTTACGTCTCACTCAACAAAGAAAACGGTAGAGGCGGAGTCCGAGAAAGCGACGAAGGAGGATTCTATAGATAAGACGAAGGGAGGCAAGCGGAAGCGGAAGGTGGACTATATGCAGGAACGAAATGCTGAAAAATATCCTCGAGCGGAGAAACGCTCGAGGAAGTCTCTCAACGAATCCCTCGCCAATATTTGGGTCCACAACATCCAAAGGTGTCTCTACTTCGATAGAACAACTAAAGATCAATATTCAGAACCCACTGACGGCTTGAAGCTGATGAACATTCTTGTTGACATTGAAGAGAGGAGGTTCGAAATTACTAGAGAAATACTTGGTGCTGGCAATCCCTAGTTTGGGTATTGCTACGCAGGGTGAGGAAACATCGGACGGGGTACGAGAAGATGTTTCAACTGGGACAAAAATGCAAGGCATTTCTCCTTAACGACTATTTTGTGGCGGAACCGAGAATACAATCTGGTTAATTCGCACAGTTGAAGCGCAACAGTGGCGGGTGACCGGCGCATCTCGCGGTCCTTCGCCTGACTTTGTTTTTTTTCTACCTGTTCCTTCCGCAATTATCATGGATCCCCTCTTGTACAATACCCAAGAATCTAGAAAGCATATACATAGTACTATGAGGGGTTCGGCCTTTATTTGCATTTTGGCTATTTTTTCAGTACTCTTCGAAGAAGCAAAGCTGCAAACGAGACTAAATCTGGCATGAGACTTGCAAAGCCCACTGGAACGGTGTCGTGCTTCACACTACTAATGGTGCAAATCTTCCAGTAGTACACTCTGTAGCCACGAAGCATCGCAAGAAAATGTATGAATTGGTAGTACAATTGCGTCTATTTACGTATCTCACGGAACAATCTATCTGCAAAGACAGAACAAAAAATGCATCGAAACATAGTAAGCTAGTAAGGACATGCCGGCTCCGAACGGACAACAAAACCCTTTGAACAGCAAATGCAACCCAAAAACGAGAAGAGGGAAAACATGTAATCCTGACGAAGCCAAGAAGAGGTGTATATGGCTTGTAAGTGTAAAGGTAAGTAAAAGTACAGATGAACTGCGATTGAAATCACAGATGCGGAATTAGAGACATGGTACGAGTAAACCAACGGGATCGAACGAATAACTTAGCAACATTATACTGTGTCGTATTCATGATAACGTGAAACATAGAACGATAAGCGATAAATTGGGTAGCCTCTAAGCTTGAGGTTGGATTGCAGCCAGTGTGGGGATAACGGGCTTCGGGACCGTAAGATCTACGAAAGGTGTGAATGGTCCTTCGTCAACTTTTCTCTTCTTTGTAGCAGGTCCGTCGTCGTCAGAATCCACGATCACGATAGGAGAGCCTGCATCTCCCATTGGTGCCTGAATGATTGATACGGGAATTAAAGGATCGGGATTAGGAGCGAGCGACGGTTCCACAACCATCGAAGCAGCAGAGACGGGAGAAGTCCCTTTGTTTGACGGTTGGGAAGATGAGGCTGCAGGAACGGACACAGAGGAATCTGCTGCAGCGCCACTTGTAGCAGCCTTTCGACTAGGTCCACCAGCGCCTTTTCCTCCCCTGCCTCTTCCTCTCGCGCTTTTCCTGTTCTTCCTCCGCTCCTTCAACACCCTAACCAGGTGACCTGTCAAGATTTCGATAGCCTTGCTTGCACCCATCTTCTCTAGTTCGACAAGCATTTCTTTTGTCAAACTAGAGAAAACGTCCGGGTCAAGGATCAGCTTCCGTTCGTGAAGGATCATGTAACCTTCTTTAGCAGAATTGTTGGGATGCGTGGCAGAGTAACTGGGATGAGTGGGAGGAACAGGTCCTAGAATAATTGGGATAGCGATATCGGGAACTGAAGGCGTTGCTGCTTTGATGGCTGAGATAGTAGAGGTCGAGGGAGATGAGGATGCAGGTGTTACGGATTTTGGTACAGGTAAAGATGCAGGTACGGTTACTAACGTAGATGTGGATGTTACTGGCACAATAGTTTGACTGGATGTTGGGGCAGTGGGTATATTGAAGGTCGTTATCGCCGGGGCCGAAGGTGCCCCTGATAGTGAAGTCGTAGATGTGGGAACATTGATGTTAGGTTTTGCATGTATAGACCATGGCTGTGTTAAAGTTGAATAAGGATTCGTTGGGGTACCAGAATAAGATGCCGTGACAGGGGTCGAGGCCATCGAAGAACGTGGGGTATAAGCTGACACATTAGATGTTATCTGGGCGGTAGAGGTGGCGTAAAGCGTGGAACGAGACGCCTGTGTAGTAGTCGCTCCTGATGAATTGGAATTGGGCGAGGGTTGCATCGAAAGAGGCGTAGAAGTCAAAGGAGGTGGAAGTATGCCTTTGGCGTCACCCTTCACGCTTCGCTTAAGAGCAGGTTCCGAAACCTTGTCCTTCTTGCGCTTCGATGCGATATCTATAACACCCGATTGGAGTTTGGAATCTTGTTCCTCTAGTGTATGTTGATGTGCTTCATCGAGCGACCAGAAGAAGCCTTTTCCCCTGTCGCCTCCACACCTCTCCATTTTCTTGAACGCTCGGCCAGATGATAAGTTATGACGTACGGAGCTCTATCAATGAGGGATGAGGTAAATATTCTATTTCTGAATGAGTGATCTCACCATCCAGGCTGTTCCGTCTGTGTAGCGATAATAATCATACTCCTTTGCTATCCATGCACAAATCTCCTGTAACGTCGCTTTGCCATTATATGCCTTGATAGCACGATATATCAGTTGGGCATAGGTAAGCGTAGGCTTGGGGGGTATTTCTTCCGGTTTGGGTGGTTGCGGCGGAGGAACAGGGATATCAGATATATCACTCTTCTTCCTCTTCTTCGCGTTTGCCTTTGTCGATCTCGCGATAAGGTTGGAGTTGCCGAGTTGATTATCTGGAGGTGTTTTGAGAGGCTTGACATCTCTAGGTGGAGGCGAATGTGAAGGTTGTGAAGAGGGCGGAGATATGGAAGTGATGTCGAGCGACGGCGACCGGGGTCTATTTGTTGATGAATTGGAGCTCGGCGAGGGAGTATCCTCAGGAGGAGGCGGAGGTGGTAACACGAAATGAAAAGTCCGCGAGGCAATCTGTATTTGGGAACTTGGTAATTGTCAGCTGGGTAGACATGAGGTCATATAATTTCTAGAACATACCGTTCGCCTAAAGGTGCTCTGGTTCCACTTCCCTGCCAAACACCATCAACCCAGGCCCCGTTCCGTCCAATTACGATCAAAATGAAGCGGTCTTCCTCCGAGTCGTACTCGATCTTCGCATGAAGCCGGGAGACACTCTTCAAAGCCCCGAGGTCGACGTCGACTTGCATAGGCTCTGAAGAGGAGGAAGTAGGAGCATTAGGATTTGGATAGCATCTCCGACCAATAGTCACAGATAATGTTTGAATGTAGAATGTAGAGTGGGGGAACACGAGAGAGTAATAGGCCGAGATTTTGTTGGGCAAAGAAGAAATTTCCTCTTGCTCTTGTTTGAGCTTCCCATCTGCATGACTGGGCAAAGCAGAGCGTATCCTAGACTCCATTAGGTCGAGTGCGCTGTTGTAGTGGTGTTCGAGAATGTCGTTGACAATTGTCGTCGAAGGTGACTAGAGTATTTGAGCACGTGAAGGGACTTTAGCACATTGCCGGCCAGTCGGGCCGTATTTATTGCCTCCTCTTTGTATCCCAGCGCACGTTTCTTATTGGACAATGTCGAAAACCGCAGAAGCTGCAACTGAAGCCATTCAATCCGAAGTTGACCATCTCGCGGACAAGAATGTCGACAGTACCGACACAGAACTTCGCTACATGGCTTATGGTGCTAGATTAAGAACTGCCCTCCGAGCATCTACTCGTTACATTGCCTATGTGAGTGATATATTTTCTGTTTCTTGAATGATTTCTGAGTTCATATCCTCCAAGACCAGTGATATCGGGGAAGCGTTTCGCCCAGTTGTGACACCCTGGATGGTGACGGCTGCCTATGGCATCTCGTGGTTATATCTTACTGGTGACGTTGGCTACGAAACCTACAAGGCTCATCGCCATGGACCTTCATCCTTTGAAGCTGCAAACTTCTCTGAACCCACGAGGCTAGCTTTTACCGCCGTGCAAAGAGCGACTTTCCAATCGATAGCATCCATGTGCGTTCGGATGTAATTTTGTGCTATGCTTCTCTTCCTCATCGGAAATTTACAGGGCACTGCCAGCTCTTACCATTCACACCGCTGTAAATCAAGCTAAGAAGGCATTTAAAAACGTAAAGAATCCCCGTTTGAAGCTGTGGGGGCCTACAGCAACTGGGTTGTCCCTTGTACCTGGCCTCCCTTATCTTTTTGATCATCCAGTTGAACAGATCACTGATAAAGCTTTTGAATGGATGAAGGAGCGGGTGGCAGAGAACAAGAAGAAGGACGAACTTTAGATGACGAGTATAATACATGCGATTTAGAGATCTCTTTGTGAATCATCATACACATTATCCCTACTATTATACCGTAAAAGTAATATTGGATCATATGAAGATATCGCCGAGAAGTGTGGCTTGGGGATATACCGCGCTAACGTTGTGAAAAACTCAAGTTATATACATAAAATAGTAAAGATCTACGCGCAATCATAGTGTCGTTCTTCCTAAGGCAAGAGGTATAGAGCTGATACTCGTAGGTGGTATTAATCCCACCTCCGTCACCACCGCGGTGATACAAGACGCAGGTGTAGAATCATACAACGGATTCAGAACTTCGAGATTGGAATTCGATTTCGGAGCGTCTGGTGAAAACTTCATCGGTGCTGTTTGATTGACAAACAGCATCAGCGAACAATAGAGCGAAAAAATAGTTAATTGACAACAAACCTAACTCATTCTTCCCAAAACCGTCAAGCATCACAGTTTCGCTAAACTTGTACGTCTCACAGCATAGCATGACTGGGACACTATGTTCTTTAGC